TCAACGAACCTTGAATGTTCACCTGTTCCGAGCTTGCGGAGTAGCAATCGCACCTTCTAGGAGTCGTCCTGACGAATGAAGTCCGTCCGGAACATGTCCTCCCAGCGCTTGAAGCACGATTCGAATGTGCATCCAGAATCCGCGTCATAATTGAATTCAGTGATTGAATTCGTGAGAAGATCAACAGAACTCGCCTGCATGTCCCGCGTTGCTGCTCTTGTTGTCTGCAAACTCAAGCATTGTGTCAGATTCTCGATCATTTTCATTTGTGACTCCATTTGAGTTTGCTGTTGGAAAAGCAGCTTTTGAAATTGTTCAGCAGAAAAATTCATCACATTTCCAATTTTCTCCGTCGTCATTTGTTATAATCTTGTCATTAGATGCGATTCCGAAATTGACACTACTGCTCTACGAAACCTCCAGCCCAACCAAAAGAAAAAGCAGAAAGCCAATGAGCTTGACAAAATAACGTATTAATCGCAGTCAACTAACACTGTACAACTACCGCGGACCTTGGCTGTATTTATAGGTCTCTTACTGACTTTCGACTTCTAGAATTGTAAGGTCAGCTACCAAGGTTAGTGGTTCCCCATAGCTTTTGCCCAGGAGTCAGGTGATTTTTAGTCACGTGCAGAAACTAGAACATTCCGGAATGTTCGAAATCGATGCGATAATCGTTAATAATCGGTTAATCGCTAAAGTAGTGGATTTCCTAGGCACTTCTTACTTTCTCCCGGACAATGGTGGTCTCAGCGTGCTTCAGAAATGAAGGCTGCTGCCCTCTTTGGCAATACTCGCAAGCTCTTCCAGCTCATTCGATCCACTAGCCTCAGAAAGGCTGGTGTCAGTGAGGCCATTTGTGAAGCTGATGGTTCGCCGATTAACAACATACATGGACGTTTGGATCGATGGGCCGAACATTGTAATTCCCAGTTCAATTGGCTCTCACCGCCCACTTGTATTCCCTGCAAACCCAGATGCCCGTCATGGGTGGTTACGCTTGATCCACTCAGTGAAGCAGAAATTTGTCATGCGATGTGGCTTCTTAGACGATTCAAAACTGTCAGGACAGATGAAGTTCCTCCGGGGCTGTTCACATATGGAGGCGCTGTTATTATCAGACAGCTAACCTCGTTGATCTCCAAGACATGGATTGAGGAAAAGGTGCCTTCTTCCTGGGGCGATTCAGTTGTTGTCGCGATTTCGAAGGGCGCTCGCACTTCATGACCCATCACCGGGAGATAAGTCTCATTTCGGTTGCGTCCAAGCTACTGACATCCATTCTGTTTGGTAGACTATCCCCAGTACGTGAATCATACTACCGTGAAGAACAAGGTGGCTTTCGTCCTGGTCGCAAGGGTGTGCATTAAATATTCGTACTCCGCAAAATCCTCGAACACTGCCACCTTTACAAGAGGCCTACCACGATGGCATTCTTAGGTATCCATGCTGCATTCGACTCGGTTGATCGACCTGCGCTATGGCATTGTTTGCTAAAGAATGGAGTTCATGAAAAGTATAGTGCCATCGTACGAGCACTCTAGCTCCACACCTCTGGCAGAATTAGGGTCTATGGCAAGCTTTCGTGGTCGTTCACTGTCATTAGCGGTCTACGACGAGAATGACCTAAGTCCCCGTTCCTATTCACTTGTTGTGATTGAAGACATCCTGTCGAGAGCTCTAGACGGTTGCCAAAATTTTGGTCTGCAACTACTGCAGGGCAAACGAGTGACCGGCTTAGATTATGTCTATAACATCGCCTAACTTGGCAACGACTCACAGAGCATGCAAACTATTCAAAACCGTTTTGCCATTGAGGCATCTATGTACGGAATGTGCCTCATCCCTTCGAAGTGTAAAGTGACGCTGCAAGGTTGGCGCTCGTCTGATCCCGTGCTCACAACTGAAGATAAACAGTATGAACAAGTAAATAGCTCTATCTACCTAGGTAGCTGCATGTCTGCTGGTGACACTATGGAAAATGAAGTTTCCCTCCGTATCGCCAAAGCTCGGTCAGCGTTCTTCAACATGAAACACTTGTAGCATCGTCAGGATGTCTCCCTCTTGGTAAAGGGTTGCGTTTACAGTGCCACCGTTGGGGCGGTGTTGCCATATGGAAGCGAGTCGTGGACTCTTCACGCAGTTAATATGTGCCGGCTCTCATTCTTCGACAATGAGTCCTTGAGGAGGATTGCTTGTGTGTGGTGGCAGCAAAGTATCTGTAACGGTGCAGTCCGACGTCATGTCTTAGGGAATGCATTCCCTTCAACAAGCTGGTTTTGCTGCGTCAGTTAGGATGGCTAGGCCACGTCCTGTGTGTCAGATGAGCGCTAACCCCACTGAGCCCTTTTCGCTCGTGCAGAACCTGGCTGGAAGAGACCGCGTTGCAGTCAGCCATCCAGTGGGCGACAGCATATGAAATCGTTGACTTCACGTCTTGTCGCCGTTGGATTCACACGTCTGCCTGGTTGGGAACCAAAGGAGGAGTGCCGATGGCTGGAAACTATGCAGGATATGGCGGGCAATGGAAACTAATGAGAGATCTGTGTACATACCTGTTTAAATGCAGCTGCCTAAGGCTTAACACTTAAAAAAGACGAAAAATGACGTGTGAAAAATATACAAAAAATCCGTTTTTCGTGCGGCGCAGTAGTTGAAGTGTGTTGCCCACCTTCAGCTAATGTGCCATATTGATGGTGGTGAGTAGACCTGCGCTTTTCACGGTTTTTGGATGGCTCTGTAGCTATTCATTAGACGGCTGCTAATACATACTCCCCAAATCAGAAGGCAAGGGCCTCCAACTGAGCCCCGGAAAATACGTTTTTTTACAGTCGCACATGATAGAACCTCGGATTGAGGAGAGAAACATCTATACCGAATATTGCAAAACAACGGGTGCCCAAGAAATTTCAGCACAGAAAGGGTGAAGATTGCTTACATAACAGAGAGAACAAGTAGATAAACCAGAACCTCTGACCTAACGGTTAGATCGCTACAACCACATAGAATCATAGTAGCTCACAAGCCAAATGGCACTGAGAGGATTGCTCTCAAGACCGAAGAGTGGTTAAACAGGGCAGTCAAAACCATGTTATCTAGAAGATAAACTGCAAAGAATGTGACAAGCACTAGATAAGACAAACTGGAAGGAAATTTTCGATACGAAGCACCGGGCACAAAACGACAATCCGGAGACATAATCTACACCCTTTGGTTTCTATACATCAAGGCCAAGACCACCACCTATACTGAAAAAACGTGAACATCACAGAAAAGGGGAAGTATGAAGCAACCAGGAAAGGTTTTGGAAGCATGGCACTTTACAGCCAATTCAATCAACCGACACATTGAAATAAATGCGATATACGCAGCACTACGGGTGACAGATCATAAACTTACCAAATTAAATCTAACAAAACGCCGGACAAACACACCGAATGACGGCATTAACCGCAGTGGCACGGCACATGTGCTGATACCATGAGGTGAGAATCCGAGAAATCAGTTCCGATGATCCTGTGCCCATTGAATAAATCGAACCCAGAGCGACGTCTCGTCCGTCTAGACAATCAATTACGCACGTGAGTATTCGGCGCACACGTACTAACGCAACGTATCGCAAGGCTACACCACAAAATAGCGCAAGGGTGATAGCACCTCGGTTGTTGACGAAATGTCTGCAGCAAAACTCTCGAGCTTAGTGAACAGTCCGAGTACCAACTGAATAGCAAGGGGAACCAATATTTGCTTCCAAATCAAAACAGCTCTGGTTATATAGTTTGATAGAAGTGACCTACAGAAAAGTACAAACCACCAGATAATGTCAGATGCAGGAAAACGCGGTCGTTGACCGGCTCCAAACCAAAAGCGCTGTCATCATCCGATTCCAACGGAAAGGGAGCTCTCTTTGATTGAGTCGACCCACAAGTCTCAAGTTGAGTTGGTCCAGACTTCCGTTAAGCCTACCAGCATGGGATAAAACTTAAAAGATTTATATAAGCGAGCTCCCTTAATAAGGTAACTAGAATTACGAAGTGACATTTGCCCATTTCTTGGCAGATGAATGAAAACAGTGAGCAGCTGCTTCTGAAAATTGCTGAATGGGTATGCGCATATTACAAATTGTGCACATGATAATTTGGAGGAAACCGGAGAAACATTCAGTTTAGATTGCTCAAATAAGAACGCAGTATATGCGTGAGATATTAGTTGCGGACAAAGCAATGCTAGAGGATAGAAATTGGATAAATGGACACTGATTTGAGGTACGCTAGTAATAGCAATATACCGACGGCTACGTTGTGTAAACTGAGTGAAGTCTGATTATTCCATCTGATGAGCACATCGCAGTGGTTACGCAAAACACGTGGAATGCTCAAGTGCTGGGCCAGGTGAACTGAGAAGCGAAGCTGCCTTAGCAGTCAGTCAATTGACTGAATACCGTCCACAATGTGAACTCCGGTGAATCATTTACGGTCTCTATGGTCAATCCAAAGCCTCACATCTCGAGCCGTGGTGGCGCGAAACGCTCCAGTAGACTGTTGGACACCAACCGATCTCATGGATTTGTTTACTTGAGCCCATCAATGACTGCGTGCATTCGATGGATGAGAACGTGCGAAATGACGGTGTCGTCCCAGAACATGCAGCTCCGGATATGCTTAGTTGGAAAACAACTCAGTTGAGTTCACCGTGGGGAAACGAAACACATGGATCATACAGAGTAGATAGAGTGGGTGGATTGGACAATGAGGTGAGCACTGCGTGAACAGTATTGAGGGCTCAATGAAGAGCACCCAAAGTGGCATAAAGAAGAACGGCACTAGGGTGTAATGACGGAAAATGATAGGTCATGCAGCAGTACTGAACGTAATGTTTCATGGTATTCAAGGAAAACAACTACAAAAAAGTACGATAACTGTAACTGATAAATAACATGCCGTAACATGCGTAGTGTCGTCGGCACAGCTGTTTTAAGCAATGGTTAGGATCCTGGCTAACAAAAAGCATGCGTGCGTAGGCTATTTGACGGATTAACAATCCCATACTTAACTAATACACTTAATGAGCAGAGAAAGAACCCCAAAAGACATCCTGCTTACTTTGTCCGGTAGAATCAAATAGCAAGTAGGGCACAGAACCACCATAGTGTCAGACAGCCAATTTAAGTATGGGACTAGACCGTTGTATACAACGCGCGGCTGACGAAGTACCAACATTTGACTGTCCTCGTTCTCCGGATCTGGTATGCTGGAGTAAGAACTGCAGGAAGTATGCTGTTGCTGTCTGAGGTGCCTCTCCGCTTCTGATTTTGACGGGAAAGTGGAAGAACAGTTATCACAAATTAAGAAGGAAGGAGCATCCTCATCCACACTGCGACGCGCCGCTGCTGACTGTTGAGAAAAAATGGCTTCCGTAAGCTTCTGACAATCAAGTTGAAACCGCATGCGCGGATCAGGCAACTTGGGTGGCTGTGGAGTTGGCGTATCGGAATGGGAGGGAATAGGGGGCATTTGCGACACTGTATCTTCCTGTTCAAAAGGATATTCTGTACAGTTTATCATTCGAATTGACGGCGGAGAGCGGTGATGCTGCTCATACAGATCACGGAGCTTAGGATCGAAGCGCATGGCGTGGTGCCAACGTGCAACAAAATCGTCTCGTGCACGTTTCAATTCAGCGAACGGGTAGCATGATACGGTAGAGGAATTGTTCATCTCACGAGTAAGCAACACTTCGAACACCTGAAAGGCAAGGAAGTAGTCAAATGTGTGTCCAACTTTACTACTGGTATAATGTGGAAGCGAAAGGAACTCACGAAACACTGGTGCAAGGCGACTAAGTGATAATGTGGCGGTAACCGCGTGTAGTTAAAAGCTAAAGTAAACCCATAGACTTGCAAGTATTGTCTGAGGAAAACAAATCAGGACGCATGAAGCGGGACAGAAAGTGTTAGAGGATGGCATCATGTCTCTGATAATCAACAAGACCAGAAGTCATGATCGAAACGTGAGGATAGCGCGTTTATGAATAAGGTGTGTGGGCTAAAGCTAGAGGCGCTTTTGCTAACCTTCGCCACCTATGGCACCGGCGCGACATCACTGTCATTCTGAAGGGCAGAGTGCACAATGCAGCTGTACGTTCGACCCTACCGTACTGTTGTAAAACCTGGCCTCTTAGATCAGCCGACGTTCCACCACCAGTGACTTTGCAGTTTGGCTCACATCTGGTGGGAACACTACGTAAGCAATGAGCATGTGCGACACATTGTTTACGGCAGAGAAAAATGAAATGAACCTCTCAGCAGCGTCATTGGCGCAGCAGGCTCCGACGTTTCGGCTACGTGGTACGCATGCCAGCCCAACGGTTTCCGCAGCGTGCGTTGTTTGTGCGCCGCGAGTGTGGATGAAAGAGGAGTAGAGGTGATCAAGTTATGAATTGGTCGGGAGGAATGAAGGCCCTCATTTTGAAGCTGGCCTCGGTTGGAGCGTGTCGGCTCCCTGGTTGGGTCCGGAAGACGATGAACACGTTTGACTGGATGCACTTGCTGACATTTCTAGGAGGCGACCTCAATGGCATTCGTGCTGTTCCTCCCCATCACTCTCAGCCTTTCCTCCAACCAGGATCTCAGTACGTACCATAATATAATTTTGCATAAGGAATTTTTACTGCATATTAGCACGCTCGTAGCTTTCCGGAACGATGCCTATCCGTTACTGGCAGATCATCTGGCATGCATCTGTTGCATGTTACGGCACAGTAGCTGAGATGTTTTCCACCTCACGCTAACATGTATAATGATGATAATGGATAGACCACGCAAACACCTGAACAGATTTAACAAAGCATGGTACGTACAGCTTGGAGATATTGCGGAATTCAGTGGTAACAGAGTTCAAACGAACAGTGTAAACAGATTGAGCAGAACATAGCGATATTCTCAACCTGCCTTACAAGCCAAGATAGATAAAACAGTAGTAGTTTGATAACAACCGATGGTTGCCTGGTGCACTACTAATGCGTAGTATGTAGAAAAACAAGCAAGCGTGATGAAATAAGGTAAGGTTTGGATCGCTGCAGACGAAGGAGGCGTAGTGTAAGGTCAATTACCACAGGTACTTTTTGGATATATGTACGCAGTGGAGCGCACAGTCAGAAGGACACCAAGAAGGAAGCATGCAAATGGACCCGAATTTTCTTTATTCGAACCATGCCATTTATACGTGAGTTCTCTAATACACAACTCGTCTGCGACGCGTTGCGTTCTCAATAGTTGGAAGTGGTTTTCGAGCCCAGAGCGATGGGTTGTCGGTAGGTGTCTTAGTCGTGATATACGATGAAGTAAGTGATGAAGTTGCAAACGATGTAAGACGAGTCGATGACGATGTCTGCCCACTCAAGAGTTTTCGGGAGATGGTAGCAATCCCAATCCAAGTTCGAAATGATATGGAATATTGATAGCTCGGGAGGGTTGTTCAGTTTTGTGGTGTTCTCCGAGCTGGGCAACTTGATTGCAAACGTTCCGCCACCATTCGAGGTGGCATCTTCAGCGCAGGGTTGATAGCAGTCAGGTAGCAGGAGTTGGTAATAAGCAAACCCAATGATGATCCATCATCAAACAGTTTGTGGGTACAGATATACATACAAACAAAGGAGAGAAAAACGTGTCTTTCGCCACAATAATCAAGAACAGCTCTCATACTTCATGCGTCAATCACAAATGGATAGGTATGAAATCAGTCACCTCTAAGCTACCATCATCAGCCATGCTCCGCAGACTATCCCTAACTCCTGTGGTATAGTATCGGAAGGAACAGCTTGGTTTTTCCTCGGTATAGTATGTGTGGATCAAACATACAGGCTTCATAAGATATTCAAACATCGTCACCCCTACCGCAGACCCAGGTTATCGCACTCCTGGACATTCAGGCTGCATTCGACCGGCATGCTATATGGTATTGCCTACCGAAAAACCGAGTTCTCGAAAAGTGCTGTTTTTTTCAATGGTTATGCCTCCATACTTCAAACAGACAGAGACTAATGCAAGTTCTCCTTAGCATTCCCTATTATTGGTGATGTGCGACAGGGGTACATATATCTCCGTTTCCTTTCAACCTTGTGATCAATGATGTTTTGTTAGAAGCTTTAGAAGTTTTAGAAAATTTTGGCATTGAGCTACTTTCAGGTAACTGTTCAACAGAGTCAGCTTATGCTGATGACATCGTTTTGCTTGGTGGCGATCCAAGGTTTCCAATGGATCGCTGAATGACTGATGAATGAGGCGTCCACGCATGGTGTGAGTTTTACCATCTCCAACTATAAATTACTGTTGTAGGATCAGTAGACATCCTTTCCTCCGCTCACGAATAAAACATACAACATGTAAATGTAGATTTGTCCAACTAGGGTGCTGCGTTCATACCGATGGCACGACTGCAGTGAAGGTCGCAAGAATGTTCGGCGAGTGCTATCTTGTTCATGAGGACGGGGAAAGTAGCTTCGCTGTAGTGCATGCTTTGACGCGAATTTAAGTACACACAAACAAGCTTCAGTCAATGAGTCAGGCCTTACACCACGTCTTTAAACGATTCGAACATTAGGTCCCAAGAAGAGGTACGGAAACAATTATTTCCAGGAAAAAATGATTCCGCAAATTGTTACAAGGTGGTAGGATGATTGCCATGCGATCTATCCTGCTGCGGTCCGGCGTCAGTCAAAACATCATGGTGCGCAGATGACCAAGTGTTCATAATTGGCGTAGCGAGATAAGCCATTATGTCTAACTTCATTAGAGCAGACCGGACGTTGCGAGTACATACGGGTGATACTACACAAAAACCCACCACAGAAGATCGAAACCCAAAACAGCACATTTGCATGAACCGTCAGAACTCGGTTCTATACATCGTGTGAGCAGCGATGTGGTAAACCCGGTCTTACAAGTAGAGATTTACTTCAAAAAATCATCAAGTCGGTCATGCAGAAATGCTGACGGGAAGTTGATGAGAAAAATAGCGCCCGCCCTTCCGATGATGAAATCAACTGAAACGTAGCTATCTCGGTCAAGCAAAGTTGCTCACCTGCTGGTACTAAGCGTCTATAAGGAGGAACAAATTCGTCCGCCAACAGAGCTATAAACTTCAGGAGAGCAACGGATACTTGCATATTGGTGGCTAAATCGCCGAACGACTCAGAAAAGGCGTGTTACGAGAAGACTGTATGTTCGCTCAAAAGTACGTTCATGTTGTGTAGGCACAACATCAGCGCTAGGTTTAGCGCACATACATGCCCACTTAAAATGAGAGGATAACTGAGGCATCAATTAAGTATATGGAGGCACGCAAACGGGTTCCAATGGGTACTCAATTTCGGTGAGAACGAAATACATTGAAGCGATAAAGTAATAAGAGCAGTAAAAAGTACTTGATGTGTTGGTATATGGCAAGAACCTATCAGATAAAGAAAACCGGTAACATGGGGAACAGCTGAGCACTGTTCCAGCTCAAACGAAACAGGATGAAAACAAATCCCCAATTAGTGAGATAACAGCTGAGAAAGGTAGACAGCTTATCTATTCTCAGTCGCATCATCCATCCCGATTGGCAGAATATGTTGGATGGCAGTTAAGAAGACCTACTGC